CGCAGCCAAAGAACCACCAGCACCAGCGGCACGCCTCCAGCGCCGGGCAAACCACTCACGCAGCTCCAGTGGAGAGAGCGGCTCCCGGCGAGACGAAGCACCCCCAGGCACAGCACCTCCAGGCTCGGCACCTCCAGGCTCAGCACCCCCAGGCTCAGCACCCCCAGGCTCAGTACCCCCAGACACAGCACCCCCAGGCACAGCACCCCCAGGCTCAGCACCCCCAGGCTCAGCACCCCCAGGCTCAGCACCCCCAGGCCCAGCACCCCCAGACTCCGCACCCCCAGGCTCAGCACCCCTAGACTCCGCACCCCCAGGCTCAGCTCCCGCAGCAGCACCAGAGTCACCAGTGACCTCGACAGACTCGACCGCGTCTACCTGAGACACACCTGAAGGGGCAGGACCCTGAGGGGGGAGGGGGACTACTGGGGGGGGACCTGGTACCAAGAAGAGCGGGGGTGGGGGGAGGGACGGAGTGCGGTAGGGGAAGAGGCGGTAGTAGGGTACCGACTCGTCGAACGTGACGTCCTGGGAGGACAGAACACGTCGAGAGGTGGGGTGGTAAAACTGCCACCCAGGGGCGTCGGGGGGGAACCCGAGGAAGACGCAGGGAGAAGCACGAGGGGACAGCTTGTCCGCAGACAGGTCGCGAACAAACGCCCGAGATCCCCAGACCCGGAACGCCGACGCATCGCCAACCTTCCCCGTCCACAACAGAGCTGGGGAGGTCTCCGCTCGAGAGACCCTGGGGTGGAGGTTGATCTGGTGCGCAGCGTACCTGACCGCAAACGGCCACAGAAAATGGGGAGCAGCCGCATGCATCATGGACGTACGAGCGACGTCCATGACCATGCCAATGCGGCGCTCAGCGATCCCATTCTGCTGTGGTGAGTCCGGAAGCGTGAAGGTCTGACGGATGCCTCGCACACGACAGTAGGCACTCAGGAGGGCAGAGGAGAACTCTCCGCCTCTGTCCGAGTGCAGACGCAAGACAGGGAAGTCAGAGCCAAAGCTTCTCCGAAGCTGAAGACGAGCTGCGCGGATCCAGTCGATCAACACCTGAGTGACCTCACCCTTGCTGCGCAAGGGGAAGACTGTGGTGTAACGCGAGTAGTCGTCAACCACCAGCAGGAAGTAGCGCTCCTGACCCTGTCCACGGACGCGGGCTGGGCCCCACACGTCCATGTGAAGCGTCTGCAACGGGGCCTCTGACGGAGGAAACTGGGAGGAGTGAGGGGCAGCACGCTGGCGCCCCTCGACACAGGGGACACAGGCAGGGCCAGGGCCCGGAGGAAGGGGAGGGAGGGACCGGGGAAGACCAGACACAAGGACCCGCGAGGCCATGCCTCCGAGCCGAAGCAGAGAGGGGTGGCCAAGGCGGTGGTGCCAGAGGAGGGTCTCGTGAGACAGACGACAACACGAACAAGGGGCAGACTCAGGACCAGACCTGGACGCTGCAGCAAACACCTGACCAGACGAAGGGGCCCTACCAGACGCAGTACCTGGAGGAGAAGCAGTGGTCAGTGTGTACAGGCTCGACCCCGGCCGACGTGTAAACGTAGCCAGGTGGCGACCTGTATCCGCCTCCGTACAGTGGGTCACCCGCTGACGAGCAGGGGTGAACTGGTGGACACCTGCATCCTGGAGGTCAGCACCACTCACCAAGTTCGTCGAGAACGAGGGGAGGTAGAGACCAGTCAGGGTGCCAGAGGGGGCCGTCGGACACGGGAGGACAGTGGAGAAGCGAGACAGGACAGGCCCCCCAGAGGGGTCCGCCAGGGACACCGCAACAGGCCGACTCAGCGGCGTGAGAGTGGTGCGGTCCCTAAAGAAGGAGCGAGAGGCTCCAGAGTCAAGGGTGAAGGTGTGAGAGGCCGAAGCCGACCCAGTACCTGAGAGGGCGGACTCACCAGTACCTGAAAGCACAGACGCACTGGCACCTAGAGCAGCAGCCTCACTAGTACCTGACGCGGCAGTACCAATGCCCGGGTCGGGCGGGAAACACCGGTAACAGTCATCCTCATCACTACCAGTCACAGCATACATAGCAGAGAGAATAGCATCAAAATCAAGATCATAAATAGCTACACCAGCCCTAGACAGCTCTCCCCAGCGGGGGATCTCAGCGGCCTCCGGAAACTGCTGACGCCAGGCGTCGGTCAGGCGGCCAAAGCAGCGACGGGCTGTGTGGGCGCCTCCACACCTCTCCCCTGCACGGTCACCAGTGCGAAGAACGTAGGGGCAGGGACCAAGCGCACCACCGCGCTGATGCTGCAAGTACCACTCACGGAGCTGCTGAGGGCCGGGGACGGTGCGAGAGCGCTGCTGCTGCTGCGGCTGCTGCTGCGGCTGCTGCTGCTGCTGCTGCTGGCGCTGACCACCCCCAGAGCTGCTCCGCTGGGACGAGCCACTCCGACCCCCTCCTCCACCGCCACCCCCGCCTCCACCGCCAGCCCCGTCGCCACCGCCACCTCCCCCACCAGGACCGTCGCTCCCACCGCTCCCACCGCCTCCTCCGCTACCACCTCCGCCGCCACCTCCGCCTCCACCGCCGCCACTACTACCTCCACTCCCGCCACCACCCCCCCCGCCACCCCCACTCCCCCCTCCACCCCCACCGCCTCCTCCACCGCCCCCTCTGGCTCCACCCGGTCCCTTGCCCCCCTTGCCCTTGCCAGTGCGGCGTCTGCCACTGGGGGCAGACGCCGCGCCGACCGACTCAAAACCAACGAGGTCGGCCGCAGCGGCAGAGGCGACAGAGGGCAGCAGGGGGGAGGGACCACACCCCTCAAAGATGGGGGTGCGAGGGTCACCCCGAGAGGCCCCTACAGCGACAATACACTTCTCAGCCGCTAGCAGGGACTCCTCAAGGAGGTCGACAGTGAGAGTGGTGGGACAGACAGAGAGAAACTGGTCCCTAACGACACGAAGGGACTCAGGGAGACGGGTGACGAGAAAGTAGAGAGTGATGTACATGGGAGGAGGGTTCGCAGCGCGGAACTCAGCAGGAAGGGCAGCGCGGTAGCGGGTGTCACTAGCGCGGAGGTGGGTAACGAGGTCAGCGACAGTGGGAAAGGAAGCGAGGTCAGGGAAGAGAAACGGTAGCATGAGGCGGCTAAGGGTAGCGGAGGAAGGGGAGGAGTAGCGCGCAACTACAGCGTCGTACAAGGCCTGAGCGGTCTTGCACTGACTAAAGTGGGCACGCTCAGAGGAAGGGAGGTGGCGACGCACAGCAAGACGTGCAGCAGCATCGCGGGTCGCCCACTTGGAGCGAACGGCAGAGTCAGCATCAGCAGGCGGGGCAGGGACAGCGCCAGAGACAAAGTCAAAGAGAGAGACCTCATCTACCGCATCACACAGTAAGTACAGCTGCAGGTCCTCGATCCAGACGGCAAAGTCAATGGCCCTCCCCTCAGCGTCAAAAGTGAGAACATTGGGGGTGGCCATGGCAGCAGCTGAAAGTCTCACCGGGATGGGAGAGTCGGGTAGGTCAGCAGCAGGCGGCTCGGGCTGCTCGGGCGGCTCGGGCGGCTCGGGCGGCTCGGGCGACTCGGGCGGCTCGGGCGGCTCGGGCGGCTCGGGCGGCTCAGGTACCGGGCGGCTCGGCTGCTGCTGGGCGGCTTGGCTGCTGCTGGGCGGTTCGGCTGCTGCTGGGCGGCTCGGCTGCTGCTGGGCGGCTCGGCTGCTGCTGGGCGGCTCGGCTGCTGCTGGGCGGCTCGGCTGCTGTTGGGCGGCTCGGCTGCTGCTGGGCGGCTCGGCTGCAGTGTAGTGGCGGGGCCGGGACAAGGGACGGCGGGGCCGTCAGGGTGCAGCGGTGGGGCCGAGACAGGGGACGGCGGGGCCGTCAGGGTGCAGTGGCGGAGCCGGGACAGGCGCAGTGGCGGGGCCGCAGGGTGCAGCGGCGGGCCGTCAGGATGCAGCGGAGGGCCGCTGGAAGCACCCGCGGCTGAGCAGGCTGCGGGGCCGCGTCGTAGGAGGCGGCAGGGCCGCGGCTGAGCAGGCGGCAGAGGCCGCGTCGTAGAGGGCGGCGGGGCCGCGGGTGAGCAGGCGGCGGAGGCCACGTCGTAGCGGGCGGTGGGGTCGCGGCTGAGCAGGCGGCGGAGGCCGCGGCGTCTGCAGGCGGCGGAGGCCGCGTCGTAGAGGGCGGCGGGGCCGCGGCTGAGCAGGCGGCGGGGCCGCGTCTTAGCAGGCGGCGGGGCCGCGTCTTAGCAGGCGGCGGGGCCGCGTCTTAGCAGGCGGCGGGGCCGCGTCCGAGTAGGCGGCGGGGCCGCGACTGGGTGGCGGGGCCGCGTCTTAGTGGCGGGGCCGCGACTTAGTGGCGGGGCCGCGACGTAAGGGCGGGGCCGCGACGTAAGGGCGGGGCCGCGACTGGACGGCGGGGCCGCGAACGAAGGGCGGCGGGGCCGCAGGGGAAGGGCGACTCGGGGGGGTCGCTAAAAAAAGGATCGCGCGCCTCGGGGCGCGCTTCGGTGGGCCCTAGGCGAAGTTCCCACAGGGAACCCGCTCTATACCATGTGAAAGGAATGAACAGGAATGGAGGATGACTAAGTCAGAAATTGGTACAAAATGGGAAACCTAATTGTGTTGTACCCCTTATGGGATACCCCACTGTAGTCTACACAAACACGTAAGCTATATGTTCTGACAAAACCATGGCTGCTAAAGAACAACTCCTCACAGTCTCTGCCAAAATGTGTAGCCCTGCTTGGTTTTCAGATATTATTTTCTGCCTGAAAAGTAGAGATCAGTACTGGTAAAAACCTTACATTGTGTATAACCAGTGTTATTTGCGCTCATTTATTGCACAATCGATTGTATACATGTTTGATAATCGTGTGTTCCTGACACGGATTTGAAGACGCCTCTTAGAAGCCCCTAGGGCCTTATATGTGATTAAATATGTGATGAAGTCCCTAGCCCTTTGTAGATCATTTCAGAACGCCGCAAGCACGCAAATGCATTTCGCTCCTACAGTCCCAGAGCAAGACCTACCATTGTAGTCATGAAACCGTGTGATTGCTGTTGAGGTAGCTCCACCGTAGTAGCAGTAAGCACCTGAGCATGGCATTGATGGCTGTACAGACTTCACCCCCCCCTTCTTGCATGAACCCATCGTGAACGACCAATACTCTGCCCTGAGGCAAACCTGAAATCATAAGATGCATGAGAAAGAGGTTCATGAATCAATAAGGCTGTCGGAGAAACCTATGTAGAGAAACAAGAGACGCACAATTGAGGCAAGGTCGATAAGGCACGCAACCTTTCAAAAGCCCTGCAAAGCGCACCTACCGTTGTCCACCTGTTCCTATCTCCCCCCAATCTTGGGAACGCCCCCCCATTCCTCGCAATCCTCACCTGTACACCAATGTTACTGCCGACAGTAGAGGCCGCGGAAGGGAGTTTTGAGGCGCCTCAAAACTAGACTCCCCCGTTCCTTACCATCCTCACCTGTACACCTTTACGATCAATATATAACCTTAACCTCACCTGCACACCGATGTTGCTGCCGACTGCAGAGGTCGCGGAAGGGATAGTGGCAGAGCAAGAAAGGCCGGGATTGTTGCGATACAGCTCCGCCCATGCGTTCTCACTGGCACCCTCCTGTGAAGTGCCGGTCCTTTAAAGCAGCCGCTCGCACGTGTCTTGAGGAGTGAACATGCCGTATCGCACACACTCGGGGACGGTGAATGCAAAGGTAGCGCTGCGCTTGATGCACACGAAGCAGCCTGCTTTGATGGGCTTGGAGCAGTCAAGGCCGGGATTGAGTGCGGTGAGATCAGGTTCTGTGAAGTTGAGCGGTCTGCTGATGGATGCACAGGTGTCCCCCTGGAGGGTTGGAGAGAGGCAGGGATAGGGATGCACAGATGATAGGATTTTGCTCACTGGCTTTGACCATCATGCTATATGTTGAGTTGAGAAGGTGAGTTGGTTGAGAATAAAATGTGGTGCGGTGTGGGCAGGAAAACGGCACCTCTTACATTGAGGGAGTAGACGAAGGCAGTGCAGGGTGTGGCAGGAGTACCATCAAGCTGAAGAACACTGCCCTTGGGCAATGGCTGGCTGCAATCAATGCCCTGCATTGGGAAACACGTGCATGGAAGAGACCACATGGGCAAGGCCACATGGGCAAGGCCACGTGGGCAGGGCCACGTCGGCAAGGCCACGTTGGCAAGGCCACATGGGCAATGCCTCCATTCCTTTCTGGGTCCTCGTGAGAATAAGGTCGCTAATCCTTAAAACTACCCAATAGAACATTCTAGGAGTCTTTTTGTCATTGAAAGGGTTTGAGAGTAGAGAGAATCTTTTGCATGGTGCATAGAAGCGTATATGTGATGTGAGTGTGCAAGTGATGCGAGCGATGCGAGTGTGAAAGGAGGATATCCACATCAGTTAGTAGCCATACAATTGGGAGACCCGACCTGCAGTGCCGTAGAGAACTCAATGGGACAATGAAGCGAGATTTAATGGGTGAAGTTTTGTGAAAACAAAGGGATATGGAAAGTGCAACCCAAGTGACGGATGCTTACGTGCATACACAAGCACATCTTCACTTACAGTGTTTTGGTCTGTGAAGGCAGCTAGTGAGAGTCCCACAAGGGGGTGAACATCCGAGCACCACCAGTTGTCTCCGCTGACTGTCATTGTGGTGGCCGTAGTGTTGGCTGCAGGCAAGAACGGGGAGTGAGTCAGAGGCAATGAAAACGATGCAGAGAGCCTTTAAAGGTTTGCAGGAAGAGGAAAAGCGGTGATAAATGGAAGTTTCCGGCCCCTCAAGCAAGCTGAGGTAGGTTACCAGGTTTACTCACCAGCAAAGGAGACAGAGAGCCTCTAATGATCTGTAGAAGTAGAAAGGAGTTTAGAGAGAGGGGAGTTGCCGCCCCCCTCAAGCAAGCTGAGGTCACCAGGCTTACTCACAAGCAAAGGAGACATGCAGACATATTTAAGCCACATACTTGGATCGCATGTGGGGAAGCCATCAACGGTGGTGCTGGGAACGTGGTTGGGAGGGCAGATGCAAGAGTAGGCGCCCTTGCCATCGTTGATGCATGCTCCCACGTAGCAGGGGTTCTTGAAGTACGACCCAGAGACGTCCACTACCACAGTTGTAGTAGGTTGGTGGGTAGTACGGAGGTTGGGGAAGGTGCACATAGGAAGAATAGAGTCAATCTTTGAGTAAACTAAGTAGTCTTCAAGTATGACCCACACACGTCCACTGCCACAGTTGTAGTAGGTTGGTGGGTAGTACAGAGATTGGGGAAGGTGGACACAGGAAGAATAGAGTCAATTTTCGAGTCATTTAAATAAACTTGAAGTACCATGACCCACACACGTCCACTGCCACAGGAGTACCAGGGTGGCAGATAGTACAGAGTGTTGAGAAAGACATGGTATTGAAGATGAGAAGGAGGGAAAAAAATGGGGATAGAAGAAGGGGTATATGGCTTTGCGCTACCATCCAGCCTTGAGACGTCTCAAAACTCTTTCCAGACAGATGGCGACAGGACCTCTGGCCGCTACAGCTAGACGGCCTCTAGCACACATGAGATGCGGGCGGGAGTACGTACTATTGTATGTATTACACATGGTTATTGAGAGACGACTTTTGAGGCGCCTCAAAAGTCTGCAGCTAGATGGCCTCTAGCACACATCAGATTCGGGCGGGAGTACGTACTACTGTATGTATTACACATGATTATTGAGAGGAGACTTGTTTCTCGCCTCTGTGGCACGCGCTGCCTATATCTGAGAACTTCTGCATGCTACAACAGCCAGACAAAGGTGATTGTCAGACCAGTCTGCTTGCCCTTGTACTCACTCACCTGTCCACTTGCCATAGAACGTGCCATCACTTTTGAAAATTCTGAGAAGTGATTATACCAGCAGGACAAACAAACTTCAGTGGGGGACCAGTCTGCTTGCCCTTCTACTCACCTCTCCTCTTGCCGCAGAGCTCACCATAAGCACATGTGTTGGAGCCGTATCCATTCTCAGCCTCCACAAAGGGCTGCACAGGAGCGGTCGGAATATTGCAGGTGCAGATGTTGGTGGTCTCTGTCGTCGCCTGGCACTGGAAGCGACCGTACGGGTTCATGCTGGGCTGCGAATCCCCATCGCCCTTGTAGCTGCGCTGGCCGCAGGGGTCGCCTGGAACTGGGAGGTGTTGAAGGGCGATGGGGATACACTTCAGAAACAAGAGGATGTAGTTTAGAGGACGACAACAAACAAACAAACAAGCCTAGAGGAAAGAAAATATTCGGTTCATGCAACTTTACTAAGCACCACAGTAGCTACGCACCACCACTAAGGGGATATGTGCTTACCAAGCTAGGCACTACAACTGAACTCTAGTGACAGAATCTTTAGAAATGTTCAGATTGCTTGCAGAGTGAAGCAGGGCCAGTACAAAACTCCTAAAGTGTTTTGTAATATGCCAATGTGTGCTGTGCCGCTCGTCGTGTACTCCAGGAGTTTGGTGGTACCCTGTATTTGCTGTTCTATCGCATACGTACGGTATTCTTATAAAGTAAGACGATTTTGGTGGTTACCTATGCCTTAATCTTGACATTAGGGTAGACGCCTTACTCTTGAGAATGGGGTAGATGCCAGGCAGCACGTTGATGCCACACACGCCATCCCCTCCCTGAATGTCCATGCGCATGTGCCCTCTCTTGCCCCACTCCTCTCCCCACGAGTTGCGGATGATCCAAAATGGAGGAGCAATGCGGTTCTGGCTGCCATCGTTTCTTGTGATGAAGTAGCCAATAACGAGTACAACGTGGTTGAGGTTGCCCGTGTAGCAACCAGGATCCTGGTACTTGAATGTCTGAAACGAATCGGGACCATAACCACAACATTTATACATGCTGAATTTCAAAGAAGTACAGTCATTTGGGTATGAAGTTGTGGAAGGTATTACAGCACTGCAAAGTGAAGGCATTTGGTATATACAATCCAATCCCTTAGTGGAATAGCAGCAGAGTACCTTCCATCCAGAAGATGACCATAAACACAAGGACCGCACTGCACAGCATGCATGCTCCAAAGCTAGCGAGAGTTGCAGCAACCCACCCCATCATAGAGCATGAAGGTTGGAGACGCCTCGATGTGAACCACCACTGGCTGCCGCTGCACTGCCAGCATGAGCCCCACATACCCCTTGAACTGCGCTTGCTCAAACGCCTGCACTGGGTACTTTGATGCCTGCAGAGCAGAGCATACAGACGTGCATGGAGATTGACGAGAGATGATTCCAATGATTGAATCACTGCCAGCATGAGCCCCACATACCCCTTGGAATGCGCTCGCTCAAACGCTTGACCCGGTACGTTGTTGCCAGGGACCACGACAGGGCAGCATTGTTGCATTGCATGGGGAAAGGTGGGTTGTTGTGGGTGAGTTTGGGGGGGCTTGGTGGAGTTGTGAAACTAGCAGTGCAACCAGTGCTCCTGATGCAGTGCAGGACACACAAAACAACTTCTACTATGGCAAATGATGGGAGACCACGTCACGTCCTCATACTGTTCCGCCTACCGGATCACTGGCCCCTGTGAGACCACTAGAGGCATCGAGAGCTGTGAGCGTCTCAAAGGCCTGGGTGGGGGAGCCGCCAGCAGAGCACTAGTTGGAGTCGGAGAGCCCCATGAGGGCAAAGAGCGCCTCCACTGATAGCTGGGGGGCGCTCTACTGCTTTGCAATGCCGTATGCCGCCTCCACACTCGCTACCACCGCATACGCCTGCACGCATCTGAGCAGGACTGGGACAAGAAAGGTGAAGTGAAGCATTCAGTCAGGGTAGAGTGATGAAGGAAAGTAGGCTGCATATCTGAGCTACAGGATTCAGGATAGTTTTTTTTTTTAATTAGGTGCAGATTTCTCATTCCAAACCTCTCTAATCTGATCAATCCAAAATCTTGTCAGTTTGAGTGGACTCTCCTGGATGATTCTCCTGCCATGTGGGCTCTCGATATTGTGTTGTTTAATTAACTCTTGATGTAATGTACTTGAAGCTGTGTTCCTTTCATCGAGAAAATACAAGTCAATGGCTTTTGCAGTCTCATACGATGCTGTGTGGACGCGGTACATATTACAACTTTGTTTATTAACAAAGGCAGCTACACATGGAAACAGCAGCTACATAACAACAAAACAGCAGCTACATATGGAAGTGATTCACATTCTTCAATTTCTTCATTGTGAAATTCTTTCCACTCACTGCAGTCGTTTTGGTTCTTGACAGGCCAGTTGAAGAAGGGCACATTGTCCCACGTGTGGAAGTCACGAATGCTCCACGAGTCCGCTCTGGTGGCCGACAGCTTGAAGTCCGCACTCACGTAGCGTGAAAAGGGACTGGCGTGAGACGGTGCAAAAGTGGCCTCTGAGAGAGAGAGAGGCCGAGGGATGTGAGGGGCGGGAAGGGTTGGACGTAAAATAGAGATGTGGATAGGGTAGTGGTTCAACTTGAAATGCGTGGTATGGTCTGAAATTATGCAACACGGTCACTTGCAACACAGACCCAATCCCCTCGCAAGCCCCACTCGACTGTGAAGGCACCAGTTGGTACCTTTGGGAAGTTTGACAATTTGAGGCGCCTAAAAAATCCTCTGTGAAGTTTGACGTAAGAAATCGATTAAATGTTCTGGTGCTTTAATTGCTCCTCAAGAAATATAACGAAAATGGTTGGTATGGAACTGAAGGGAAATCCCCAATGAGCTCGGCTGAATGAAACCTTCAATAGCGAGGTAGGAGTTTTCAGTTGATCACAGGTAAGTAGTATGAGGTAAAACCTCAACCTCGGTAACATTCCATCCAAGTTGCGACCTCACTTCTGCGAGCCTTACCTTGTAGATGAGCAGGGTGTCAACGGGAGTTGTGTGTTGGCCCCGCCCACGCTTGGGCGGAGCCGACATCGTGGTCGGGTGTTAGGGGAGCAGCCGACCTGCAGCAGTGGGTGAGCTGGTCGACGAGGAGGTCGACCTGCACGGGGACCACTGCACGGGCGCCGACTTCTGGGTGGCGCCAACTTTGGGGAGGTCGACTTAGGAGTCGACCTGCGGAGGACGTCAACTTGGGGAAGCCGACTTTGGTGGTCGGCTGATGTGCTGGTCGACCTGCGGGTGGTTGACTGGACCCGGTGGTCAACGAAGGAGGGGCCGACGTCGACCTCGACTCAGGACGCCGAGTAGATGGGCGTCGAGTAGCGTGGTCGTCGACCGAGGGGCGTGGTCGTCCTGGTGAGGTCGACATGGAGGTGGTCGACGACTTGGGAGGTCGACGGGCACGTACAGGAGTTACTGGTCGATGAGGTTGCCCGGTCGACCAGGTTACCTGGGTAACGAAGTGCTGCGGAGGAATGCGACAGTCGCCCAGGCGAAGTTGGCGAGACCAATCTCAGTGGTGGTATCCCGAGGTCGTCGTGGCTGATCAGAGGCAGTTGTCAGCCCAAGGCTGACGTGGTGTGTATGCTGGCAGGTGACAAGACTCTGCACACCAATCATCTGCACGCACCTGCAAAGCGCTGTCGACTTTGCACTGCTGGAGCGTGGTCGACCAAGTCGTGCTGGAACGCGGTCGACCATGCTGTGCTGGCAGTCTACCGACCTGAATGCTAGCTCTGATATAGTCTTGCATTGCCAAACTTCATTGTACCATTGTTGTCATCTTTTCTTAGTGAAACTCTTGCCAAATTGCCCCGTGAACTAGCAAGCAGTGTGAGCATTAGGAAAACGTCTAAGGACCAACGAACGCAGAGATCACACGAGCACACGTGCCTGGCCAGTAGTCTAGCTCCCGTTGTAGTAGTTATCTCCGTACAGGGCACGCCAGTCACATTCCGCTGGCGCCTACTAGCTACTTGGGAGATTTACAATGCCTTTCACGTCTAAAGCACTATTGGGATACTAATAAGGTGTACACGGGATGCCATGATTACGTGACGTAAAACGTATGGACGATCTTTGGAGCACGAGCAAAGCAGGGTGGGGTAGATGATGGGATGAGAAAAATAACATCAGAGTATATCAGGTGTAGTCAGCTCACCTTGCTCTTTGATTTGGACAGCCTTGGGTAAAGGAGCGCCTGTGAAGTGAAACAAAAGAAGAAAGAGAAACATAAAAGCCATAGAGTGCTGGTTGGGTATAGGACAGGGAGAGAACCACTTGAATGGGTAGCAATGGCAAGAACGTGCTACTTAGCTCTGCTAGTCATGATCTCAATCAAGCCTATCCATGGCACGAGCCATCAATATCGCGGAACATCACAGAACAACGCAGAAAGACACCTTATCCAATGTAAGCTGCAACACGCATGATCCAGTTCTTGAACCCAAATCAGTTCGGTACAAACAGAGTCAAACCAACCGGGTGGTTGAACCAAACCTGATCGGCTTCGGGTGGAATTGGCTTATTTGATTGAATGGGTTCAAGTCCGGTTGCATCCTTGCATGCTCGAATCATGCCCACTTTTGAGAAAGTCAGCATCACCCCACCTGCCTGAGATAACCTTGCCTATTTGCACAGTGGAGAACAGAATGCTGTGCAGCTGGAAGGGCTTCACAGTGGTGGACGCCGTAAACCCAAACGAGAAAGCCAATTGCTTCACTCCCGGCTGCAGCACCTCACACAGCGACACCCTCCTCTGCAGCAGCGGATCCTCTGGCTTCACGTTCGAGCTCGCCAGGAACACTCGAATGGTGCCGGGATCTCCAGGCTCATAGTCCACCCATGCCGTGTACGCATTGCCATCCGTGAACATGAATGGTGATACCTTTGCCACTAATGATTCCTCTCTGCCTTTAAAGCTCAGCCCCACGTGCTGGTGGCTCTCTTCGATGTCGAATGTAACGGCTATGCTCCGAGCTCCCACCCCGCTATACCCCACACCACCAGGTTTCCCTGCCTTGGCCGTTGCGGCAATCACAAACGCAAAGCCGCTGGGCCCGGTGGCGCTACCAGAGTGGTGCAAGAGAGCAAAGGTGAAGTTGGCACTAAATGCCAACTCTAAGCCACATCCCAACGTCACACCAGGCGGGTACATGAAGAGAGTGAGTGGCTTTTCTCCAAACCTCCCCACCGTCTCCTGCTGCGTGCCCTTGGGGAGTACAGTGAAAGGCGTGAGAGTGCTCCTTGGGAGGACTGGAGCGTTGTGAGGGAAGGGCAGCAGTGCATGGGGAAGGGTGGGAGTGGAGGAGCAGCAGAAAGTATGCGTTAAGTTGAATTGTGCAAACCAGCTCATACGGTCCATAGAATTGGGAAGTGTACCTGTTTACTACGATAAATGTGTGTGTGGCACCGTGATTCAGCAATTTTTACAAGAATGAATAACCTAGGGTAAGTGCAGCCGAGCATAAAGGCCTAACCTGAACTAAATGTGAGCGAGCTAGAAAATAGAGGAAATGGATATCAAGTGCACAAGGCAAGGAGGACAAAGACCGTGATGTCCTTGAATCCAGTGCTCCAGTGCCTCATTCTTCCGATTCTTCTGAAAGCATGCTACTGTCTATCAGTTCTCTTCTCACCTCCTGAAACACAGCTGATCACTCCAAACTGTACCGACCCTGCACCACACAAGCACGTTGGCACCAAACTGGGCCCATCTGGGTAGCACACGCCACGGCCGCCACAGGCAGCAGTGGTTGGCGAGATCCCACAGAAAGCCAGGCACTGCGCTGCTGGCCGCTGCAGGTCCCCACAGGCCTTTCTTTTTGTGAATCAGTTGGCAACGATGGTGTGACGGCGGCAGTCAGGACGGCGCACAGCACCCGACATGTAGTTGTTGGAGAGGTCTGCTTGGATGCCCGAAAGATTCACAAGAGGGCCTGTGAGGTAGTTGTGAGAGAGATCACTGCAGGGGGGGGAGGGGAGAGAGACAGGGATGTGTGCACAGTGGAGTTCGGCTGAAATAAAAAGCAGGGGTTATCACACAAGGGGCTAGATGGAAAATAAATATAGCAGAGGGATAAAGGAGAAGAGAGGTCAATGGAGAAAATGGGTTTGGGCTATCATCAAGAGGAGGACAATGGCAGAGAGGAGAGGAGGAGAAGCTGGAGTACAGCATCTAGAAATGATTTTCAAAGTGGACAGGTTTGTTTGACTACGCCCGCTGGTTCGACCCGGTTCAGTTACAGTTACTTCAAAACCGAGGGGTTTAGTTGGGACCTTCAACATTAATGGCCCTTACCAATAAGTGAAGGTTGAAGGATTATATTCTATAGCAGGGTCCAATAATCTCGACTAAAGGTCGACCAAGTTTTTTTTAGGGTCCACTAATCTCCCACCCCAACCCTTGGGGGTCTATCTGAGCCAAAGATGGATCTCAACCACAAGTAGGGTTGACTGATACTAGATAGGCACCCAAAATAAGGTTGGGAGCGATTTTCTATCCAAGCTATGTGCTGCACTGCAAGATGCAAGATGCAAAGTGGGGCATCGATTAGAGGGGAAATGTTTGAAGGGAGGAGCGGAACGCAGAACACAGCCAAGCGAAGGGGCTTACAGGAATGTCAGGTCCCTAAGGTTGCTAACTGCAGTGGGAATTGTGGCAGTGAGCTGATTGCCAGAAAGTGATCTGCACGGAAGAACATCAATGGCCATGCGGTAGACACAAAAATCTCAACTTTGAGTTTTGAGTCGTCTCAAAATAAGAATGGCCGTGTGGATCTCAACTTTGCTGGGGAAACGACCAGCAGATAGGACCGAGAGAGCACCTCTAAATGTGTGCAAAATGGCAGGGGATGGATGCGGTTAGGAAAGTGAAGGGAGATGTGATGTTTGCTTGCACCAGGGCATGTCTTCCGTGGACAGATGGGCATGAAAGAGAGCATGAGGGAGAGGAGGCGAGATGGAGAGGCAGAAACAAGATAGGAGCAAAAGGAAAATCGAGGAATGTGGAGGACGGGACGGATCATGTGAAGAATGCTTCGAAAATAGGAAAAGAGGGGCACAAGAAGAACGCCAGGTTGGACTGGAAATGACAAAAAGTTAGAGTGTGAGTGGGGAAGAGAGGTATGAAAAAGCATAGAGGGAGAAGGGTAAAAGTATTAGGCCTAAGTTTGCTTAAATGCATGTTTCTTCAGGCAACCGAACTTCATGTTTTGACTAGAGGGCTTGAACATTGAGCCATGCGCAGTCCAGGCTAGTTCAACAAGAACCAAAGTGGTTGATTCGACCTGAACCCATTAGGGTTCGGTACTTGCTAGTGCCTAGTTACAGGCTTTGTAGGTTTGTAAGGTTGCCAATTGCAGCAGGGATTGAGCCAGAGAGCTGATTGGCAGAAAGGTGACTGCAAACACGAACATGAATGGGCATGTGGTAGGTAGATACAGGGAGCTCAAGGTTGCATGCAAACGAGAAGCGGATAAGAGCAACTCCATCCATCAGCACGGGAAATTCTAAGCACTGCAACACGAAAGGCACGAAAGGCAGCGCCATGGGCATGTCATAAGGTCTACGCTTGCTCAGGCTCTTGAGAACTTGAACATCAAACCATGAGATGTTCAGGTTGGTTCAACCCGAACCGAAGTGGCTCGGTTCAAAGTTGCCTGTCGGTCTGACCAGGTTCGCCCCAGACCATTCAGGTTCGGTACTGGCTTGCTCGTGGCTGGTTTCGCAGGTTTGCAAGATTGCCGAGTGCAGTCGGGATTGTACCGGTGAGCTGATTGTCATTTAAAAATCTGCGACGATGTGCATGAATGGGTATGGATGCGGTGGATAGTGGATACATCGAGGTGAAAATTGCATGGAAACGAGCAGCAAATAGGAGCAAGTGACTCCAATGAGAGGTGAAATCTCGGAGAATGTAACAGAGGCATGAAAGGCCGTACGATTGATGGGCGTTGTCTGCGGAATGTGTGCTATCAATTGCAGGGGATATAGGAGAAAGAAAGGGTGCGGGGAAGAGTGCATGGAGAGAGGAGAGGAGGGGCAAAGGCAAAAACGCACAACAAAGCAATCACGCTTACAAGTAGCTGAGAGTCGTTAAGTTGCTGATTGCGGAAGGAATGGCACCAGTAAGCTTATTCCCTCGAAAAGATCTGTGACAATGAACAAGTAGCAGGCATGCGGGTCAGGCACGAGCATGGGTAGAACTGGCCTGGTAATCGAACCACGTAGAACTGGCCTGGTAGTCGAACCGCACCTGATCTGGTCCAGGCCGAACCGGTTGAAGACCAACCAGTACTACTAGACCAGTCCGTCCCATGCCCATACCTTTTTTTTCGCCTTCAGCTTTCTTTCATACACTCTTCAATAGAGCTTGTCGACCCTGGTTTTTTAACACTCCATGTGTAGTTCCGAAAAACATTCGTACAGCTAACGCTCCTACAACTAAATGGCTAGATGCT